TAGTTGCTGCCCCGTCTCCTCACCTCGTTGCCCACCTTGCCGTTGGAGGAGACCAGCCGGCAAAGTGTACCCCACGGACGGTGTGCACGTCGACGGAGGTAGGACGCCGGCCCGGACGGCAGCCCTCGGACATCTCGGCGATGAGCACCATCCACACGTACGCCACAAGCAAGCGTAGCTCGCTCCATGTGCATACATAGCTGCCACTAGGTTCATGGCTTGATCCATTCGTGGACAACCGTATCACTTTTGGTCCTCTTCTAAAGAATTAGCCAACTTTTGGTCCTCTTCTAAAGGATGATTTGCGCTCCCGCTCATCCTGAGATGAAGGACTACCAGCCGGTTGTTGCACAACGCATGCAGACATGATTTATAAAGGGTCGTGCATGATTTCAAGGATCTCTTCCTCGTCTCGGAGCTAGTTCAGTCAGCCAAGAAGAGAAGGAAACGTATACTTGTCTTCATAGTAGACTACCAAAAGATCATCGAAACGGCATAACACAAAATATTTAGCTATCGACAAATACTTTCGAAACTGATTTACAACAAGCAGGAATTCCCCTTTATTTATTAGCAACAACATAACACAGAATATTTAGCTTATATTTTATTCTCGCGGCTACATACGTGGTTTTGGAACTAACATCAGTTTCTCCTTTCGACGCACGGTTAGCCCAAACACCTCTGCCATATCAACGTCCTTTCTCTCAACCCCGGCTGGCAGTTCCCAATCAAAATGGTACATGAGATTAGCCAATATAAGCTCGATATTGGTGATTCCGAGGTTTATACCAGGGCACATCCTTCGTCCTGCCCCGAACGGCAAGAACTGGAAATCATTCCCCTTGAAGTTGACATGCACAGCGCTGCCTTCGTCTATAAATCTTTCTGGCATGTATTCTTCCGCGTCCTCCCAGGAGTTGGAGTCCCTACCAATGGCCCATACATTGACGAGGATGTGCGTTCCAGCAGGAACCATGTACCCAACGACATTGCAGTCGCCCATGGCAAGGTGTGGAGGAAGGAAAGGCGCAACAGGATACAACCGGAGTGACTCCTTTATAACTGCCCTTAGGTATGTCATCTTGTCGATGTCGGTTTCACTGACAGTTTCTTGTCCTAGGGGTACGATGCTCCTCACCTCGTCTTGTAGCTTCCTCATCAGGCATGGCCTCCTCATGAGCTCGGCCAAGGTGAATTCGAGGGTGTTAGATGACGTGTTTGTTAAACCAAAAAATACATCCTGTGGATATGAATGAATTAATTAGGATACTATGTAAGATATATATAAATATCAATATATAATTTGGAAGCTATTATTTCTACTTACCGTTAATAGAGCTTTAATGTGATCTCTTGTGAGACCGTACTCCTCCTGAGCAGACAATAGGATATCTAAGAAGTCGCCACCCTTATGATCAAATGTGGACTTTCCCTTGCTCTCATGATCATCAATCAGCTCTTCTAGCAAATCGGCCCATCTATGCCTCACTCTCTCAGCCTTTGCACAAACTGCTCTTTTAAGCACTCCTACCCTAGTCAATATTGGAAAGTACTCCTCCACGTTGAACCCTCCTAGCAGCCGTGAGGTATCGTTGGCAAGGTCCTGGCACAACTTGCTCCGTCTTTGTTTCAGGAAGGACTCCCCCGACACGATGCGACACGCCATGTCATACGCGAATGACCTGAGCAGCTCACTCATGTCCAAAGTACCACCTACTGCTGCGGCATCACTGATCTTTGCCATCACTATGCTCACCTAGATGTCATGCATCTTAAAACATAAGAGAAGCTAACATTTATGAAACTCTTAGCTGACGGAAAATTGAAAACTTATATTATTTTTCTTCGCATGATCTAAGGTTAATTTTGGTTACAAATTATTTTTGAATGTAAATTCAATATGACGGTTTTTATTTGCATGGAAGCGACTTTGCTAGTGGTCCGACCCGCGAAACCGTGAACCCGTGGGTCAATCAGTTCACTCAGTGGTCCAGTCTCTTAGACTACAGTTGCGGGAGTGAGTTGCGTGCGTTAAACTATATGCTCCTAATGGTGTTAAGTGGTTGCTTCAAATGCTTCAAGGTTATGATCTTTGTTGCATGTGAGTTGGTGACTATTGCTATGACTTGAGACGATTGACATAAGACCAGATCACGCCCCCACATTTTATTCGGAAATGAGTACTTTAATATTTGTAATGCAAAAACCATTTTTTCTTGGCTTGGAGGGTCGGAAATTTGTAGGACTAGATTTTACAAGAGATTTCTGTCAAAGACGGGAAGACTACAAGAATTACCTCATCCATGACGGCGCTGCGGAAAGACCGCACCTTTTTAGCACTCAACATGTGAGTGGTGGCGAGCTTCCTTGCCTGCCGCCAGTACTCGCCATATGGCGCGAAGGCGACATCAGATGCGCCGTACATGATGATGTCGTTGACCAGGGAGCGGGGCCTCGACGCCATCATGTGGTCGTGTGTGCGCAGCACCGCCTCGGCGGCACGCGGTGAGGACACGACAAACGTCGGGACGACACCGAGGCGGAGGAGCATCACGTCGGGGCCATGCCTCCTGGCGAGGCCGCGGAGGGAGACGTGTGGGAGGGAGCCGATGAGGTGCAGGTGCCCGATGATGGGAAGTGCCGGCGGCGAAGGTGGGAGCTGGAGGCAGTCTTCTCCCTCATGCTTATGTTTTTTTCCTGCCTTCCCAGTGAACCAGTAATGCACAAACAAGAGGGAGAAGGGGAAGAGCAATAGAAACCATGCCATGATGAATTACTTTGTGGAGCTCTGCCGGCGAAATTGGCTCCTTGAAAAACTTAGTTTGTCAGTGCAAACCTCGAGCTGTTGCTTATAAGCTAGCCAGGGGAAGTAAAAACACAAAAAATTGTCACGGGTTCTGGTGCCTGGAGCAAATAGTTCCTGTGTGTACAATGTTGTCAGTCACGGGTCACTCTCAACGCATTCTGGATCTGAGATCCGACAACGTAGCTTTCATTCCCCAAAAAACAGACAAGGCAGTCTTGGACTCTAGCTACGTGCTGTACCAATTATTTTCTTACTCTTCAGAAAGATCTTACTCTTCAAAAGATCTGTGGAAACACCAGCCATATCAACAACGCAACCCATTTTTTTGGTATACTTGATGGGACTTTTTTT